GCAAAACCATTCTACAGCGTCAAGCATAGTCTTCATGGACTCAAGGTCGAAGTAAGCGTTCTCCCTAATGGCTTCGCCATAGGTTGTTCTCAACATGCACGTGGCTCCGCAGCAGATATAACGATGTTCCGAGACAACGCAGTATTTCACAAAGCACAAATGGCAAAGCGATTTGGTGAGGACACACTTGAATCAACTATGCCAGTGAGAGAAGACGCAAGATCAAGCAGTGAAAGAGGCACTCTGGCTGACCGATTCAAGGACGATTGGGCTGTGCTTGTTGACAAAGGTTACCAAGGCCTGAGAAGCACATTTCGCGCATTTCATCCTGTGAAAGAAGTGCCAGGACGACAACTTACCCTTCAAGAGAACAAGCACAACACTGATGTGTCGAGCGACCGTGTGCTTGTCGAGAATTACTTCGGCCGATTATGCAACTTGTGGAGGGTTTGTTCGGACAAATTCCGTTGGAGTGAGAACTTGTACGACCTCGTCTTCAAGACCTGCGTTGCGCTCACAAACGCCCATATTGAGAACTGCCCTCTGCGTCGAGAAGATGTTGAGTTCTACACTCTACGTCGACAAAAGATCATTTCCATTGCTGAAGCGATACAGAGAAAGAGAAAGGTTTCTCAAGAAAACTACCGCGAGAAGCGACGAATGCGCCTAGACGATGGCCCCTTCGATTTTGTTGGTGAAGACTAACCTAGGGTCATGTATTAATACATTCGTGTGTCTTTTAACGCCATATCGAAGAATGCACATATTCTCACGCTCTATAGCAAATGGATACTCGATACTGAATGAATTGTATTGATGTGCTGCGGACAACATCGGTCCGGGAGATAACCATTCAATTCGCAGTTGGCTGTTCCAATTTGTACAAAGTGTAGTTTTTTAGTGGTGAGCGCGCTTTCAGACTAGTGTTCATTAACTACATGGGAGATCTAATGAAGGACTTGAACGCAGCACAATCGACGCAGCAACAGCGAAGTTTCTGCACTGGCGCAACACTCATTCTGAATACTACAAATGTTGAATGTTGGTCGAAAAATACAGACGGTTGGTCGCATGCCCTTTTTGACGAACCATGGCGCTCTTCCTAGGCCTGGACTGCTCTACACAGAGCATGACTGCGGTGGTGACGAGGTACGAGGTCGCGCCAGAGGGCCCGAATCCCCTTACAATCGTTGCGTCGGCGACCTTCCAATTTGACAAGAGATTACCCCATTATGGTATGCAAAGGAGTGTAATCAGTGTGCTCGGACTGATGTGATGCCAACGACAAGGGACAACGAACGGCGTACTGTTCAACGATGGTCATGTCGAAGTGCCGTCGTTGATGATGGTGGAGGCATTGGAGCGAATAATCGACGACGTGCAACACGAGTTGGCCAAGCGTGGCCACTCGTTCTCTCAAGTCCGAGCAGTAAGTGGGTGCGCCCAACAGCACACCAGTGTATTCTGGCGACTGCCGGAGCTCGAAATGCCGCGGCAAGGTAGTTTACACAAGTTTCTGAAAGAGCAGCGTGCGTTTGAACCCGAAAGAGGTCGCAGTTGGATGGATTCGACGACAACCAGCCAGTGTCAAGCGCTGGAAAGTGCCGTCGGTGGCAGCCGGCGAATGGCCGACCTCACTGGGTCTAGGGCGTACGAGCGATTCACCGGCATTCAGTTGATGGCATTGGGCGACATGGATCACGTGTCGAGGGTGAGCTTGGCGTCGTCGCTCTTGACGTCGCTTTTCCGCGGCAAGATTTGCTCCATCGAGCACAGCAACGCGTCGGGAATGAATATGATGGATCTGCAACGCCGCGAGTGGTCGACCGAGGTGATCGAGGCCATGGAGGCGATCGGTGGCTTTCAAAGAGGAACATTGCGGCGATACTTGGGCCCCGACCCAATTCCACCGACAGAGTCCGTTGGCCCGATCGATCCGTATTTCCACCACGTTTACGCTTTTTCTCCCGACTGTGCCGTGATTCCGTTTACGGGCGACAATCCGAGCTGCTTGGCGGGTACGCTTGAACTTGTGAGATGCTGTTCGTGGCTCCACTACCATGTTGTAGGTATGGGGCTATCCCAGCGAGGGGACATCGGGATATCCTTGGGGACTTCAGGATGTATTTTTGCCGTGGGCAACTCGACGGACGTAGTTCCGTCAGAAGAGTTTGGACATGTCATGGTGAATGCAGTCGACCCGTCGACGCTAATGGTATCACCGAAGCCATTGAATCGTGTTAACGACGTGGCGCAGGCGATGCTATGCTTCAAGAACGGATCGTTGGCTCGTGAGGTCAGCAGCACCCTACATGAAAATGCTCTGACGTGCATCAACAGAATGTGCGAGATCGCCGTGCCGATGGAACGTGGGAAGAGTTTTCGCGGTTGATGCAACTAAGTCCGCCGGGCAACGACGGCTACATGGGGTTTTTTTACCTGCAGCCAGAGATCACCCCCGTCGTCCCTGCCGAGTCGCAAGATCAGCGCCTGAGTGGCTTGCATGGCTTTAACTGCGACGACATCGCAGAGGACGTTCGAAGTTGGCCTCCTGAAGTCGAAGTTCGCGCGATCGTCGAGTGGCAGTGCCTTGCCATGTATCAGCATGTTAAAAAACTGTACCGCGGGCCCGTTCACCGGGTCGTCGTGGGCGGCGGGGCCTCCGTGAATACGTCCATACTAGACACCCTGTCGCACGTGTTTGGGGTTCCCGTCTTTGTCGAAGCCAATGGAGTCAACTCGGCAGCGTTGGGTGGTGCTCTGCGCGCGCAGCATGGGCTCGATTGTAGCCAGCGCCACAAGGTAGTCGCGTTCGCCCCTGGCATTGAGTGGGCGCTGAAGGCCAGTCCAAGTATGAGTGCGCACGAGGTGTACATGGCGATGCTACCGCGCTTTGAACGACTAGAAGCACGTGCAATTGCTTCGCAAGTGGAACGCTATAACGCGTGACATGTGAGCTATACAGATCCACTTGGGTCGCGAATCAACATGGAAAAGTCTTATGGAGGGTCGTCGCCGTGCGCTGGTGGTTCATCCACACTCGATTGTAACATGTGAACCGATTCCAAAATTAGATCGAAACACACTGGTTTATCTGAAACAGGTCAAACGAGTCGACTACGGCGAGGTCTCAAAGCGGCCATGGAGAGCGAAGGGTCGGGCGAGACAAGGGGCCACGCAACCAAGCTGAGGTCGCTGATCAACGAGGCAGCAGAGCAGCGTGAAGAGCTGCAACAAACAAATATTGGGTGTGTGCATCGCTTCTTGACGAAGGGGGCGTTAATGTCACTGCGTAGACTCCAGCGCAAGATTGTTCCGCTGCTGCAAAAGAAGCAGGACGCATCACCCGAGAAGAAGGAGGATCGGCTGAGTTTGGTGGAAAATGAAAAGCGGTACTACGACTGCTTGAAGAGCGTGCACGAGGCGCGGGCTCAGCTGCTGACTGCACAAACGCAGTACGACAAAATCGCCATGGAGCTACAAGTAGGCCAGTGTCTGCGGCTGAAGCACACTAACGTGGAAAACGTAGTCTCGGTTGGACGAGAAGGAGTCCAAGGCCAACGAAATTCAAGAATCGTTCATGGAGTTCAAGCGCGAGGTGGCTCGAAGTGCAGAGAATACACGGACTGGCAAGCCCATTCCAAAACGTGTAATTGCCCAATTCGAGGTTGCCGAAATGAAAAAGGACCAGGAAGTCGAAAAGGTACGTTGGAAGTCTGCAAATCAATTCCGTCCCCCACGATGGGATGCAGGTGCGGTTGAAGAACATCAACTTGCGCACGCATTTACGCAAATTGGAGCAGCAGCTGCATGCAAAGGAGCAGCTAGCAGAAGGACTCCACTTGATCGATTTTGAGCAACTCAAGATTGAAAACCAGACCTTGAACGAAAAGATCGAAGAGCGCAACGAAGAGCTCCACAAGTTGCGGAAGAAAACCACGACGACCGTCCAAGTACTGACGCACATCAAGGAAAAACTGCAGTTCGTTTTGGTGGAAAATCAAAACTTGAAAAAGGAGCTAGCGGAACTGGACGAAGATTTGACGAAAAACCGCGACACGTTGACCAAGAAGAAAAAAGAACGCGACGGGGTCAGGCTCACACAGCAGAAGATGAAACACCAACAAGGATTTGGTAACTCGCAATTGCTCATGCAAGACTACGAAAAGCGAAAAATCGACATCGAAGACTACCAGGGGCGACTGGCACAGCTGAAGCAACGACTGGCGTACCTCACAAAAAAAACTCCTCAAGCAAGTGAAGCAAACTCTGTGTGAAATTACGGTGGATAG